CTTGTCAATCGATTGGCAACATGTCTCAATCAATTGGTTGCCTCCATTCTAATAGAGTACAAAGTTAAAAATGGAAAGAAAATATATTGTTACCCATCATTAAAATGATGTATTAATATATTAGGGCGCATTTTTGAACTCCCTCAATCGATTAGGATAAGGTGTCAATCAATTGGCAAAGATAAAATTTTGTCAAAATCTTTTCGGATAACTTCTAACTCATCTGACACGACATCAATAGATTTTTAAAAATATTTCTTTGAGAAAAATCAATTTGTAAAATTTTTGTGTGTGTGTGTGTGTGATTTTAGTCATGCATTTTTATGAGAACACCCTTATGTTTTACAAAGTAGTCACTTAGGTTAATCAAGGTAGGGTTTTCTTGTACTTCAAGACTTTGTCAGATACTTTATTTCTTGTAGACACCTGTTTAAGTTTACTTGAGATGATCCTTGAGTTAAATTCCTTTTGATTTTCATCATCGGATAGTCAAGTCCAACAAATCATAATTGTTTGATTTGCGTCTTTAACCACTTAACCTCTTATACTTGACTTGTCATCATTAGACAAGTATTTATCATCATCAAAAGTTGTTGTCTTTGTTAAAAACATATCACCTACAAAATAAGGTTCCACTGCCCCTGCCCTTGCATGCACTCAATTTTGCAGGGTTTTTTTTTATCTTAATCGTTATGGATAATTTTTTCGAATACCCATTGGAGATGGTTACAATTTACATCTCTACTTCTCATATTCAAAAAAATTTAACAAATCAAAATTATTGTCTTTTGCATCTATAACATATTTAGGTGTTCCTACACTAAATGTAACAATAAGTCCTTTAACAATAGTGTACATAAGACTTCCTTCCTTTTTTTAGTTAAGTTTCTTTTTAATTTTATTTTACATTAGGGCACTTATTCTTGATTATTTGTTGTAACTTCATTTTATTTCTTTATTAATATATTTATTTTTCATTAAAAAATAATATATGGAGATTAATTGGAAAATATTAGATGAAATATTAAAAAAAAGTGTTATGATTTGTAAGAACACAATGCATTCGTTGAAATGTAATGCCAAAGACACAATGTATCTTGTAATTTTGCAAAAACGCAGTGTGATTCGCCTAATACCCATAAAGGCTTTTTTTTCAGCCTTATTTTTGTACAAGTGTGATTTAATATTACTTTAGAGAGACAAAGGGAGAGATTCTTAGAATTTATTGTTCTAAGAATTGATAGATTTTTAGGCGGTATATGTGGATTCAAAAACACTTCTAAACATAAAGAGTTTTTGTGATTTATATATTTAGTGGGGGAGTGATTCGGAAAACATGGGTTTAAAATATGAGACGCGCTTATGAACTTCGAAAACTATTGTTTTGCAATTCATATTTTAATCTCTTGTAACAATTTTTGAATTATAATGGATAAAAGAGTTCTTATATTCTCTATAGTATATCAATTTGATTGAATTAAGTGAACAAATTATGCATATATTCATTTTTTATTTTCTTCCTTTTCTTGTACTTTTGCTTACACTGTTTAGAAAATTACTTTTTGCTTGAGGCTAGCATGAATCTAGGAGATCATTTTAGTTTGTTCACCTGAATCTATAGAGCCCAACGATGTTGGAAACTTATGAGAGTGGTTTCTATTTCTTCCATAATATCAGTGCTTTTTTTAGAAGATTATAGGTCTATATTTTAAAAAATAAAAGTGACACTTTTGAAAAGTTCAGGGAATAACATACTAAATTGAATGTGTTGGTATCTAACAACTGTCCTAAAGTTTGTTTCAAAAATTCACGTGTCTTTTTTTTTGTAAGAAACAAGGTATTCGGATGCATAAAATTGTTGTTGTCACTAGGGTTTTCAAAACAAAATACTCTGTTTTTTAGAGTCAGGCCCAAAAAACTCTTTATTAATATAGGCTTAAAAAATATAATCTGAGTTTGATCCTAGACGGGTTACTGGCTACCCGACTCTAAACGAGATTTTATTTTTTAATAAAAAAATAAAATAAAAAATATCTCAATATGATTTTTGAGTTTTAGTTACAACGAGTTTGTTGGAACGGATGGTTGTTCCATAGAACATTTAATGTGATTTTGGGTTGATTTGCAGTTGATAATGGTTTTCTGACATCAAATTGCAACTCAAGTTCGTTTGGGGCTCAGTATGCTCACCGCGTCTAAAGAAGTTTTTTAGATAATATTCATGTTTGATGTGTGTTTTGGTCATTAGGTGTCTAATGCTTTTCTGTTTGTCCTGATTGGATGGTCGGATGCACATTAAGGCAATATTCATGTTTGATGTGTTTTGTTTTGTAGGCATCTAGTGCTTTTCTGTTTGTGTTAGCTGCATGAAACATGTTTTTTTAGTTATGAAGTTTGTGAAGAGTCAGTTACGTAATCAAATAAGTGAGCATCGGTTAAATGACCGTTTTGTAACTTTGATAGAAAGAAATGTTGTTAAAACAATTCACAATAATGTTATTTTATCTCATTTTCAAGAAATAGATAATAAATAATTATTTATTATTTTCAATATAATTTACTTCATTCATCCTACAATGAGTGATCGAACTGACTTTTCACACGGATTAAGAAAAATGAATAAATGAAAAAGAGATAATGATATTTTTACTAAAGTACTCTTATCATGTATTAGGAATGATAAAAATAATATTAATTAGAAAATAAATTTAAATTTTTTTTATTAAAAATTAAAATAAATTATTTATTTTAGAATATTATTTATTTTAAATGAATTATTCGTTATAAAATAGTGGAAGTAATTAATAATTTCTTTTATGTTTAATCATATACAATAAATATATAATGTCAAAATCAACCTTTCGTTGGCTCTATGCTTTAGAGCATAGAGATTGAAGTAACAGGTTTGGTGGACTAGTTGGAGTCTGGCTGGCTATGCTTTAGAGCATAGAGATTGAAGTAATAGGTTTGGTGGACTTGTTGGAAACACATCTGACATGTTTTTCTATACGGTGTTCAATGGTTTTAGCTAGGAATTTTGAAATTTATGGAGAAAATAATTTGTTTGGTCAAGAATTTGCTATGTAGTGGTGTTTAGGTGGTCTCTCTATTTGTTGAGGTAGTGGCATGTTTTGCTATATACATTAACCCGTAAACTTGACATGTCTTATGCCTGACTTGACTTTTCTTATAATTTTATTTTATTTTGCCTCTTAAGAAAATGTATATACAGCATCACATACAATGATATATTTAAAAATAACATAGAGAACATCGAATATATATTAAAATATGTTGATTGACCAAATTTCCAAGAACACGTGTATTTTGAACGTAGTTTGTACATAAGTAAAGCAATTTTCTGCCCTCTTTTAAAATATCAATAATATTACAAACATGTTATTGAAAGACCACACAACATTCATGAATGACTGTATATTCTCCGCATCAAACAAACATCATAGGAAGTGCAGAGCAATTTTTTATGATTTTTATTTAATAATTATACAGAGAGAATATAAAAAGTTGTGCCTAATAATATTTTTCTTTTTTAGATAAATTATTATTTTTTAAGAGTGTCAATAACAATAGTTATAGTTATAATTGTAGTGTAATTATTTTTTGCTTATAAAGAGACTTCAAAAGGAAGATAGGTTGCCTCTACTTATTGCCGGCAACATCAGCTTCCCCATCATCATGAGATGTATAGAGGCATGCCAAATATTCGAAAGAGTGTATTGAATTTCAAAAAAACAATGAGTTACAAATAAAAAAACAAAGTTTATGAGACAAGGGACTGCGTTTCCATTCATTGATGTTTCAATTAGATTCCCAGTTTACCTTTGGATGCTTTTTGGTAAAAGGAATGTACAGTACGGCAAATTGGATATGTACGCCTAAAAAAGTGTGTTTTGTTTTTAATGGTGATTTTAACTTATTAAACAATTTTAGCATATTCGATTTTGTTATAAATATAATTATATTTTGAATAAATTGATTATTTAAAATTGATTACATAATTAAAGTCGACTTAAAATTAAGGAGTTTAAAAGTCAGATCATAAGAATCTTATTTCACTTGCCATATTACTTGATCATTCGAAACATTTTACTAGTATGTGTATGTAATTGATAATATTATTGACTAGTTTGTTTTGTTTTTTTTTTAAATAATTTTTATAGTATAATAAATTTTAGTGTAATTTTAAAAAAAAAATTATAAAAATTTTAAATGAAAAATAGTTTGAATAATTATTTATTTTATCAAAACTCTTTTTAGATATCAAAATTTTAAAAAATTAATTAATTTTAAATTTATTTCAAATAATTTTTCATAAAAATCATTTTTGACATTTGAAAAAATTATAATTTTGACTATATTTTAATCTTCGATAATGTATATTTATGTTATAATATGTCAAAATTAATTTTTTAATTTATAAAAAACAAATTGTTTAATTATAGTTTTTGTCTCCTATTTTACTTGACTATTTAATTTAAGACTTAGATAGTTTAAGAAAGGAAATTTACTGTTTATTCCTTTTCTAATCTTAAATAAATCCCAATTTGGAAGACAAAGAAAATAGGTAAGAAAGGAAATTTTACTGTTTATTCTTTTTCTAATCTTAAATGAAATCCCAATTTAGAAGACAAAGAAAATAGGTAACTGAGGAATATGAGTGAATCAAAGTCTCCTAATTAGATTCCTGCTTATCATTCTTTCCCATCTCATCTCTTTCATAATTTTGATATTTAAAATCAATCAAAACTATAGCTTAAAAATAAATCAAAACAACACTAGAAATTAAAAAAAAAATTATATAAAAAAAGAAAGGAGTAATATTATTCACTATCCACTGTAGTAATTAGTATCTATCCAGTATCCATAGTTACATCTAAAAAATACAACTCATCAAGTTGGGAATTTCCAACAAATGGTTGGAGTTTCACAATTTCAATATTTCAAACCTTCCATTGACTCCATCAAGAACACTTTGAAACTCATCTTTCCATAAGAGAATACCCATTCTTTGATCTCCAAATAACTTTAACTATCTTAACCAAGAAACACCATCCAATTGTTAGAACCAATGCTTGTAAACGTCCCACAATAAGCCCAACGAGTACAATCATAACCAGAATTGCATAACCTGAATTCCCAGCAATAATCGATTCTCTCGAATAAGCGATTGCACAGTCATCTCTTACTTCACTTTTAATAATAATCTCTTCTTTATCTTCAACTTCATTCTCCTCATAACTATATTTATTATTATTACTACTAATTCCCTTTTCTTCTTCCTTTTTCTCTTTCTTAGAACGAAACTTCTGAAGCTTCTTCACCATCGTTGCCTTAAACCTACCGCTACGACTACCTTTCCCTTTAATTTTGCATTCAGAAACCAACGAATCTTCCAATTTGCAACAAATCCCTAACTCCTCACTCTTTTCTTGCTCCACAGCTTCGATTTCATCGTTCACACAACAACGATTCAAATTCAACAATTCAACTTCATTGAAAACAGTTACTGGTTGTTGAATCTCGTTTTCTTTAACATGAAACAGAATCTTTTGAAAACGAGATTCAATTTCTACAAAGCTAGAATTAGAACAAGGCTTCAAACACGAAACGGCGCGTTTTAATGCGTTTTCGAGAAACAGCAGCGCAAACGCCGAGACCGTGATCGCAACTGTTAACTCCTTCACACTCGCGGCTAAAACAATAACCGTCAACGTTTTCACGATGATCGCCTTTGAACGAAACGTGGAAGTTAGTTTTTCAACCGGAGGAGCCTCCCCGACGGCGGCTTCGTCGGTGTTTTCTCCCGGTGTCGGAATCTCTTCAGATGAAACTCCATGAAATGGTGACTCCGATGACGGAGATGGATATAAGACCGGGGACGACGGCGGAGGCGGTGGAGGTGACGGATCAATGTTTTCGGAGTGAACCGGTTTTTTGAATCTGGATTTCTTGAAGCGGTTACGGTTTTTAACGAAGAGATCGATGAGGGAAGTGGGGAACCCGGTTTCAACGAAGAGCGAACGACCGCGTTTTGGTGATTGAAGATCAGCGACGATTTGTGAAATTCGGGTGACTCGGTTTTTTTTCTTCCAAGGAAAAGGCATGGTGAGAAGAAAAAGGGTTGGGTTGCGTTATCTGTGAGAGTGGGTAGGGTTTAGGAATAGGACATTGGTTTATAGGGAATTTGAAGTGGGGAGAAAAACGAAACGGTTTCTAGGGAGTATGAAAAAGAGAGAAAATGAAGAAACGTATGAAAGGACTAGAGGCGCGTGAGTGAATAAGAAAACAAAGGTTGTTGTGAGAAAACTTTGAACGCGACTCAGCTTTGTGTATTTTGGTTGTTATATAGTATTAGCTGGATGATATTGCGACATACTCTATATGTGTATGTTCAATTCTACAACCTTTCCACTTATTTTATTTCCTGTGAAAAATAAATAAATTTATGAGTACATTCTAAAACACATAATATAAATGTATTATATTGTAGCCAATATTCTATATAAATAATTTATAATGATAATTAATTTAAAATATTTATCAATATAGTAAAAGAAACTTGGACTCTTTTTTATATAGAAATCTTAATTTATGGTAACTCTAGGTAAATATCTTCAAAATATTTATTAAAAAAAATTAGGTAGAATAATGGTTGTGACTTCTTTATATAATCTTTCCACTTTATAACTTTACCACTTATTTTATCCTTTGAAAAAAATAAATAAAAAGTTATCTTAAACTAGAATAATATTTATGTGTCATTTCTCTATAACCCTTCCACTCTAAAACCCATCCCCTTATTTTACTTTTTTAAAAAATTAATAAATTTATGAGTATATTCTAAAAATATAATAGAAGTGCATTATACTATAACTATAATCAGTATTTTACATGAATAATTTATAATAATATTTTTTTATTAAATTAAATATATATTGTAGTTCGAGCTTTTGTAAGCCGTGTACAAGAGCAAGCAAATCAGATAACATTATCCTAGGCAAGTCGGAGCCGGTCAGGGTAAAGTAGTACTATAAAACCATAGCGGGTCAGATACAATCTTAGAGTAACTACGATCGAGGAATAAGTCGGTGTGATCTCTTGAAAAGTACTATAAAGCAACATGAATGGTCACATAGAATGATTATAAAACGTCCCCACGGTTGCATAGAAGTTATAAAAAATAATAGAAGAAACATTACTTGATAGTTATGGAGGACGACTGACGTTACTGAGGGTGGTTGTAACATAGGATATGAAAAGGCATCCTTAAAGGGATCATCGATGATGGAGTGAGTATAAAAAGAGACTTTCCAAACGAGGATGGAGAGAACAAGTGATACCTCTTAACTAATAGAATGATTGTGGTATCACCTGGCTTGCTTCAGGGAGATTCCTCCAAATATTGTTTAGCAAAAACATTTGGCGTCCACCATGGGGCCTAAGTAAAACTTTCCCCGACCTCAAAAAACATACAATTTATAACAACAACACAATGCCTGGATCATCTCCTAGAAGGAGTGAAGATCAAAATCATTCACACATGGCACATCTCCTAGCAATTGTGGAGAACCTACGCCAGCAGAATGAGTCTCTACAAAAAAGTGCTCATACATTGCAACGGTCACAAAGTACGAAGGAGGAGAAGGAAGAGCTCATTCATCCTCAACCTCTCTCAGAAATGATTTGGGGTGATCAAGTCCTAGAAAAAATCAAACCACCACCTTTACCATCCTTTGATGGAAAAAGTGATCTTCGGGAACACACAATCTAAATCAAAAACCAAATATCAATAGTCGGGGAAATGCAAACTCATGGCGGGAACACTCGAAGATGTGGCGCTATGTTGGTACATGAATCTACCTAAACTATCAGTTACCAGTTACCAAGACCTAACTAAAAAAATGGTACAATATTTCGCCGCCAGCAAACATAGAAACGCGAGTACTACTAGCTTGTTCAATGTCCGCGAGGGGCCCTCTAAGTCCCTATGAGAATATATGGTGAGATTCAACGAAGAGACCATAAAAGTCTCTCATCCAAATCAGGAGATGTTTGTTAAAGCTTTTCAAAACGAACTAAAAGTCGACCATTTCAATGAGTCATTAGCATACAAGCCAACCAATGTTATGTCTAGTGAGAGGAGAATAACATGGAGAAGAGGTCTCGGGATGCTAGAGAAAAGATCATAATCTAGACATGAATTATTTAGGCCGGTGAGAGAGCACCATAAGCACGGGTTGAGGGAGAGGTCATTAACGAAACCTTCCTGGTGGTCGTATGTCTATGATAATTCATTAGAGAATTTCACTTCTCTCAATACAAAATGTGCTAACATTTTGAGGGAAGTGTATCATCTCAAGTTGATACCTAAGCCTATTCGACCCCAAGAGGGTCAACACTGTCCTAAGAAACGAAGCAGAAGCAAAGTGTGCTTATCATCGTATGAAGGGCCATCATAATGAGGATTGTCACCAATTAAAAAGAGAAATCGAGATTATAATCCAAAGGGGTCGGCTACTATCGTATGTAAATGAGCCAGAAGGATCAACAGGAAAGAAGAGTCCGACTAGAAGAGAATCAAATTCAGAGAATACTTTTACCAAAAGCGTGAGACCAAGATAGCTCGTCACACACTCAATACCATCTCAGGAGGTTTTGTTGGTGAAGGAGAAATAAGTTTGACCAGGAAAAGATATGCCTGATCTGTAATGCACGTGTCACAAAACCCGTTATCTGAAAAGGAATGAAAATCTGTTGTCATTGATTTTTCAAGACAAGACTTAGAAGGGTTGTTGGCCCACGAGAATGACCTGATGGTTATAAAGGTACAAATCTATTATTGGAGTGTCAAGAGGGTGTTGATTGATCTAGGAAGTTTAGCTGACATATTGTACTGGGATGCTTTCAAGGGTATGAACATGGATACGCCCGAGTTGTTACCCTTCAAAGGCACCCCAGTCAGTTTCTCCAAGGAACAAGTTCAGGTATTGGGGCACTTACTTATTATGACCATCTTTGGAAGTGGAAACAACGTGAAAGGCGTCAGGGTAAGATACCTGATAGTAAATGTGTCATCCCCTAATAAGTGGTTTTTATATCGTTTTTATTAGTTGTTTTCCTTTATATTTTATCGTTAACATTCGCTTTCCCTTCATTTTATCATGTTTTACACTTCGGTATTGTATTCCCTTTGTTTTTAGGTCATAATAAGCATTAAAAGCGAAAGAATGACAAAAAGTGGATAGAAAACAAAAAAAAACGAAGAGTCAGAATTTCTCCATACAAAGACCAATGGCCTGTTACGGCCACCCGTATGACTATTACGGGTCGTAACAGGCATGGCTCTCCAAACCTTCATAAGAAACGCCTCATGCCAAAAAACCAAAGGCCTGCCACCCGTAATGGCTATTACGATTGTACCAAGCATGCAAACTTTCTATCGCTTTGTTTCCTTTTCTTGCCCGATTCCATTTGCTTTAAGGCTTTTGATTGTTTGGGTATGATCCTTATTGTTTGTATTTGGCATTGAACTAAGAAGATTATTTCAATGTTTAGTATTTGATATAAAAATTCATAGTTAGTCTTGAGTTTTTATTCCAGTTTAGAGTTTACATTTATTTATTCATTTTTTGTACAAGTCTCCATTGGAGCACTAGATCAGAATTTTAATTAAGTATTTCCCTTTGTTTAATTAGGTTCTTTATCACTTTATTTATCTTTTTGTCAATTATGTTTCTATCTGTAGTAATTGATTTGATTGGATCATTCTTCATCATGAGTGAGTAGTCCACTAGGGAGTAAAGATTATGAACCCTATCTTAGGACCATTCACATGAACTTAAGCTAGTTACGGAAATTCCACCCTTTTTATTTTAAAGCCTAAGTTTTGATTCAAACCTCACTACGAAAGTAAGAGTGTTATTTTTAGGCGTTTATCTTATGCTGAAAGGGTAGAGATGGATGCCAGAAAGCAATTTTTAAACAATCGAGTCTGAAGCCACGAAGTGATCGGATGAAATTGAGAAAAGTTCCAATTTTTAATAGTTGTGCAAATGTAAAGACCACTAATGAACGTTTCTGCACGAGCAAAAGCTGACGAATGTCCCGTTCGTTAGAGGCATGACAATATACCAACGAAAGTAGGTATTGCCATAATAATCTATTTTTCTATAAACTGAGTCGGGATTCTTGTAATATAAGTATTTAAGTCACGTGTAAAAGTTTAAGATATGTGTCATAACCCTAAGTCATGTTTGTTTTATTAGTAATTTTCAAGAAATTATCATTTAAGTTGTTTTTCCTAAAAGTGATTTTTCATATAAGTTATTTTAACTTAAGTGCTTTTTCACCTAAGTTGTTTTTAAAACCCATTTCCTGTTGCTCTAGATTTACACTAATAGGATAGAAATAAGTATTTAACCATTGGTCTCTGGGATTTGATACTTTTTTACCACTCTGACATTAGTCGTACGCTTGCAACGTGTTATCACCCTATAGTATCATCATCGGAAGGTCAACATTCAATGCTCTGAAAGTTATACTATCTGTCACACCCTAATTTTTGACTTTAAGATCACACCTCCTTTTGTAAATTTCTTGCGTTATTTGGCTTTATACTTCGTATTTATGTTTATTGCGACTAACCAGTTCGTGTAGGTATGACAAGTGTGAACGGTACGCTTTTTCTTCTCTCAATTTAAGCACCTCAGGCCATCTCTGGATCTTTTTTTAAAAGGGAGCATTGCCATTGTCAAGAGTGATTTACGGTTACAAAAAACAAAGCGCAGGAAGCATTAATTATTTAAGAGTTTGAGTTCAAAGTTGCAAGCTCTGGCCTGATGATACAACCAGGATCCTTCCAACACCCGGACGTCTAAATCACATTTCCATAAAGGTTTTTCTTTGCAAGTTCTACAAGGTCACTGGATTCCGGTCTAAAGAAAACAAAGATGATTTTATGCATCGGGTTTTATGACATTCTAAGTTATTACAATGATATTTGGGTCCATGCTATAAAAGACTGAGCTCTGATTGATTAAAGAGGTGCTTATGGGCTGATATACAAGGTTGGAAGTAAATTCAAGTGCAACCTCAAGTATGAGTT